TGCTAATACTCCTATTGAAGATGGGGAGTGTCATGGAGCCGACGAGGCTGATTGAAACGTCATGCCCCATACACGGACCTCTACAACCCGAGGAGACGATCAGGTTCCTACAGACATCAAGCAAGCCCTAACCATTCCAAAACCCTTGTCTCGAAGGATCAAGCCTCAAGTGGCCAGGGATTCTTAATATGACTATGTATGGTTCAGGGTATCTTTCTTGCCAAACCCTAAGCCCTAAACCCTAACGTGTTTCGGAGTCTCTGGGTATCAGGTTCGACAAGATGGACGAGAATGCACGCGCCATCCTTCACGTGCCTTGGTGATGACTCGGAACTAGGACTTTGCAAAGTCATCGATTTTATGCAGGGCTTTGAAAAGCTGGTGTTTCGAATTTGGGTTTTACGCAACTTTCACAGTACCCTATCCTGTGGGTAAGCTGGGCTTTTGGAGCCTACAAACCCAGAACCCTGATCTGAACCCTAAACACGACTTTTTAAGGAAGTCATGGAGCAGCAGACGGTGAGCATCGCGCCACTTCCCTCGCAGTACTCAGTAGGCGCAACGACTTCGGTGGACGGAGCTTTGATGTTTATAGGGTTCAGGTATTCAATCCCTCGACAAAGCAGCTAAACTGTGAGGGGTCGACAGCAGAATTTTGGTGGGTTCAAGCATCCTAACACTCCCTGACTTGATCTGGACAAACAACCCGGGCCCAAGACTCTAAACCCCAACACTCGAAAGCTTGGGCCCAAAATTCTTAATCTCAGAATCCTGAATCCTAAACTCCCAGGTTAGGCTTACCACTGGGATATAAATCGGCACACAACCCTAAAACCACCAAATCCCAAAACCCCAAGACCCTCAACCCTAAACCCTAAACCCTAAAGCCCCAAGCTCCGAAAGCGGTTTCACGCTCTTCGAGTCGCTGAAAGCTTAGCTCCCAGCGAGCCCCCTACGATGTCGCCGAAGTCTGGAGTGTACAATAAGCGTCCAAGCATTTAATAATCATATACTCTCCCAAAGGTTAACCTAGATAACTACGTTTAGGGTTTAGGTTCTAGGGTTTTGGGTTTAGGGTCTTGGGTTTGGGGTTTAGGGTTTTGGGTTTTGGGTTTGGGGTAATGTTAACCTAGATAACGACTATCCGCAAGCAAAGTACCTTATTATTGGGTCCTTTGGACCCGTAGGGGTAGGTCGAAAATGTTGGGGTTTGGGGTTCAGCAGGACCCATTGGAGTATCCCTTTATAGAGCCCTTGTGGTCCTTAATCGTGGGTATTGACGGTATAGTAGAGAATTAGGATTTGGGATTTAAGATTTTGGTGTTTAGGGTTTGAGGCTTATAGGGTTTGGGGTTTTAGGTTTCAGATTTAGGGCCTTCCGGGCCGGGGGTGGGGGGGGTTCTTGACCCTTAACTTAAAATTCCTGACAGTAGCCATACTCTGCTTGCATTTGCCTCCCCAAAACCCCATGCAGCCTGAACCCTAAACTCTAAACCCTCAACCGCTTCTCGTTGATAACGCTTATGAGATTGGAAAATGGCAGCCGCTCACTTCCCAAGCATTGGCCTCGCCTTCACTGCTTTGTTTAATCCAAGCCGACATCCCCGCTGGGGTCCAGAACACGGGTTTAGGGTTTAGGGTTTAGGGCCTTAAACCCAGAAACACTCTCAAGCAAAAAGAGACACACACACACACACACAGAGGAAGGCGGGGATCGTCTGCTCCTTGAACGCGCGAACCGCCATCCTTGCATCTGCAAACCCTGCCGAAGCTTTTCTGCAAAGCGCTGGTTATCTTTGGAAGGTTCCTGGCTTATGAGGTTGAATCGTTATCCAGGTACTGATTAATTGGAGAAGAGTTAACTTCCGCTGTTTTAAAAAATGTGTATATATATATATATGTAGATATTATATTATGTATATATGTAACGATACACAAACAAATATATATATATATATATATAATATTACATATATATATATAGATAGACTATAGAGCCCAACTACTGATAAATGACGGTGTCCAGCTTTGGGTTCCAAACAAGACGCGGGGAGAGCTTAAATGGCTTGCCATCAGTCTGATTGTAGGGTTTAGGGTTTAGGGTCTAGGTAGGGTTTAGGACGATTCATGAGATGTCTCCCAGCATTAACGGCACCCAATTCTCTGATACTCCGAACTCCCATAGACCTTCCACTAGACCCGGAGGTCTACTACACAAAGGCCTCGAGCAAAACCTGTAACACCCTAAACCCGAAACCTTCTGTGTAACGAACGCATGGGTTTAGGCCTCAACCCTAAACCCCAAACCCTAAACCCTCAACCCCTAAACCCTAAACCATTAGGGTCTGGGGTTTAGGGGAAGGGTGAACCGGTTCCTGTAGCCCTGCCAGAGTCGACGAAGGCGTGGAGGGGCAGCAGCGTTTTCTGGAACAAACGCTCCGTGTACGGTTCAGGGTTTAGGGCTTATAGGGTTTATGGGCGTATATAGTCACTTGGTATATTTGATGAATAAAGGAACGGTGTCGTCCGACAAATTTTTCGTGGCGAGAAGATCGCTGCAAGCGGCTCAGCCTGATCGTCAATATGGCTTTGACCCTTAACCCTAAACGGTAAGCCTTGAGCCCTAAACCCTAAACCTTACACCCTAAACCCCAAACCGCTGGAAGTGATGTGAGAGCTCAACGGCCGAAGGCGTAAACTTAAAGTCGGACTGCCTTGACGCCACGAATTTTGCAAACCTCTCACGTAGTAGTCTGCGGCTTAGGGCTTTTATAATCATGTGTGGGGCTTGGGGTTTGCATTTTTCGCTCAGGTCGCTGAGGGCCGTAAGAATTGGAATACGGGTTTTGGGGTTCATGATGGTACAAAGAGTATAGAGACCATAAAAGAAGAGGTAGTCTAGTGTTTCTAAGTATTCCGACTGCAATGAAAGCCAGAGTGCTGGGGCTTTCAAGGCATAGCTTGATTCATCTTGACAACAGTGAAGCATCCCTACCAACTGAGGGGTTTAGAGTTTAGGGTTTAAGGGGCCAACCATGTTTACATGAAATCCTACCAACTCAGTTAACTAGAAGACCGCCGAACTTCTGAAACCTCTAGACCTGAAGCCCTAAACCATAAAACCCGAAACCATAGACCCAGAACCCTAAACCCTGAAGCCCTAAACCCCAAACCCTAAACCCTGCAGCCCTAAACCATAAAACCCGAAACCATAGACCCAGAACCCTAAACCCTGAAGCCCTAAGCCCTAAACCCTGAAGCCCTAAACCATAAAACCCGAAACCATAGACCCAGAACCCCAAGCTTTGAATCTCCAAGCCCCCATCGAAGGATTCCAGCTACAATCCGAAGCTGTCGGTCGCTGGTCTGCACCGCTCAAGGAGCGGCTTAGCGTGTAGGGTTTAGGATTTAGGGTTCATTCCCAAGTTCGGATTTTTAGGGGACTTAGTTTGGGGTTCAGCTTTTTAAAAGGGGGTTTCTAACTCGTTTAGGCAGGATGGGGTTCGGCGGCTCGGATTCAAGAACAGTAAGGGAGGGACTATGGTTTTTGGGCGCATGGCCTGATTCTTTGGTATAGAAATTGAAAACAGAGGGTTCAGAAAGCTGATCCGATTTGCGCTGTGTACGATCCCCTGTCTTGGGTGCAATCTTCATGTCTAGATCATTCCTAGGATCCCTTTTCCCCTCTTTAAGGACACCTGCCCACGGAACCCGTTCCTCTCTTCTCCCAGAAGCCGAAAGCAGGCCCAAAGCCTCTTTCTCCTGGGTATATTTAGATTAGCTTAGTCTTAGACTCGAATTGCAGCGGACATTAGAGGACGCAGTGAGGCCAGCTAGGCGTATCCCAAGTTGGGGTCATGGTTATAGTTATATAGATCTAACTATGGTTAGCTTACGTAGAACATCTTTTAACTCCTTTGGGCAGGTCTGCTTTTTGTAAGCAATCTCCACATTTGGGGAGGATCCTGAGAGTAGAGCTGGACTTCTCGACCTGCCTAAGGTGGTGGAGAACATCAAGCTTCCGCACCTTTACTGCAATTCTGAGTCCTAAACCCTGAACCTTAAACCCTAAACGCTACAACGCTAAAGCCTAAACCCTAAAATCCGAAAGCCCTAAGGCCCTAAACCCTGAACCCTAAACCCCAACCCTATAAGCCCTTCGCCAAACAACGAGATATACTTCGACATCAAGATCGGCTGAGTCAAGGTTGCAGATTCGTCTTAGGGTTGGCCTCGATACATATAAATATATAAGTATGGTATTATTTGCCCCAGAAGTCTATATTCTATAATAATTATCAGAAGCGGGGCATGTTTCAGGGCGTCGGGGCTTTGCGTCTCAGCGCCGAGGGTGCCATAATTTTCTGGGTCAGTTTTTCACCCACGCTACACATAATAAATATAAATAAACAAATATAATATAAATGTATATATATATATACACATACATATATATATATATAGATTTATGTATGTATGCATGTTTGCATGTTTGCATGTATACATGTATGCAGGTATGTATGCATGCACGCACGCACGCACGCCTGCCTGCCTGCATGCCTTCCGGGCTGGCTGGCTGGCTGGCCGTCTGCTTGGCTGTCTGTCTGTCTGTCTCTCTGTCTCTCTGTCTGTCTGTCTGTATGCATAACTGTGTATGTGCATATACATGTGTAACTGAATTTGTATGTATATATATATATGCATACATACATTCGTTTGTGTGTGTATACATATACAAAATCAATCAGTCTATATATATATATATATATATACATATATAAGTATAATAATACAAAAAAACATATATAAGCACTTGGTCGTTTAGGATGTGGGCAGAACGAGATATCAGGTGTGAGTCCGACGAGATTTGTCGGTCTTTGCTTGGGGTTGCTGTGCGCAAGGAGGTATTGTGTCCTTTCGTGGAAGAGGGGCTCGGGACGTTCTTACTGCCTTGGGTATGGTGGTGTACTTGTTTTCAAACAAGTCTTGATCACTCTGAGGAAGAATCTGATGACGCGCTTCGATTTGATCTGGCTCATGCTGGACAAGCGAGACCGCGATTCGGACCACAGGCAGGGAAATACAATCTTGAGGATGCAAAACTAAAATTGTCATAGCATCCACGACCGTTGCGATTACTACCATATTTGCCACCATTGCTGCCACAGCTACCGCCACTCCTGCACTGCTGCTGCTGTTGCTCTTGCTGCGATGGTTACTACAACGCCGATGTCGGATACGACGACGACTACTACTACTGCTACTACTGCTGCTCCTGTTTCTACCAAGTGTTGCAAATTAGGGCACGATGTCATGCGCAGGTTGTATCTCGACTAGAACGTGCCAGATGTGCAACGGCATAACGTTGCGTGCCGGACGCTAAATTTTTAAATGTCAGACAATGGCATTGTCTTCCACACTGCATCCCTGACCCGCCCCTCATATCCGCCTCTGAAGGCTCGCATTCCATCTTCTGTCCATGTACACGGAAGAGGGCGCAAAGAAGGTCGAAGCCGTGGCATCTTCGGCTTCGTTTAAGCGTTGTCCGAGCTCTGAGGGTTTTGGTATCCGGCCTTCATGGCTCTTATGTAGGGGTCTGCACTGTGCTAACAGGATCACGGCAGTGCCGCTGTTGTCAGGGTTTGCGGTGCAGTGCTTGTTTCGGTTGAGGATCTTCAGGTTAGTGCGGGGCTCTAAGCCCCTGGGAGCTTGGTACATCTACTGAGCTTCAGCTGAATGGGGCCCGGGTTGTCCCGGAGAGAATCACCGAGTCCTGGTTGAGGTTTACCTGTAGTCTGCATTGTAGTTCCTTTTTGGGGATACCTTGCAAAATCCTTCATATATAATTGGTTAAACCCCAAAAAGAGCTACAATGGAGACTAGAGGTAAGCTTCAGGGTTCTTGAGCTTCGGGGTTATCCGGGCCTTCGTCTTGTCTCTGCGTTTGTGGGCTGATTTGGTGTGATTCTAATGAGGAGCCTTTGAGGATTTTAAATATCTGAATTGGAGCATTGATGCCAGCTACTCTTCCGTAGGAGAGAGAATGAGACATACTCCGAACAAAGAGGTTGAGGTTGGGCCAGTTGCCTAAACCTTAGACCCCATAAGTTTCAAAGCTCTAGACTCGAAACCCTCCAAGCCCTCAACGTTCGAAGCCCTACACCCCCAAAGGCGTGGCCCCCATCAGTCTTAACGTTGTTGAAGCCCTAGCCCCCCCAAGTCTTAGAATTAAAAGCCTTAGATTATTGAGCCCTGGTCCCTATACGTCGTAAAGTTCGAAACGTTACACCCCCCCCCCCGAAGCCTCTAGCCCCCATAAGTCTTAAAGCTGACAGTCTAAGGTTTTAACCCAACACCCCGAATCCCTGGACCAAATTAAGTCTAAAGGTTTTAGCTCCTAAACTAAACTCTGAAACCCCGGATAGGTCTAAGGTTCTAGTTCCGAAACCCCGAAGCCCTAAGCCCAAGAAGTCTAAACTGCTAAATCCTCAAACGTCCAAGGTGGAGCTGAGTTGTTCTCGTTCTGTCATTCCTCTTGGGTTTAGGGTTTCGTGTTCAGGTCTGGGTTTGTCTGTTTTTCCCTGCACTTCGCCAGGTGGATCCGGAGCTCTTCCGCCGCTATGCAACTTGCACATGCTCGGCTTGGGGTGTTGGGCTTGTTCAGGGGTTCGGGCTTTGGGGGCTCTGGAAGTTGTACAGAAGGTTTGGAGTTCGAGGATGTTGGAGGTGTTGTGGAGTTTGACTGGTTCCGCAATTGCCGCATGGGATACTTGCAAGGTTTAGAAGCCCAGTTAGCTATGTTGTAGGTTGCTGCCAGTATATAACTGATAGAAGCCAAAGTTGCAGGCCATAGAAACGCATCCGCATGTCTCTGCCTGTTTGGGTATGCATATATATAAATAAAAAGGTGCATCAGTACGTGTCTATACAGCCGTAGCATTGAAAACCATTATGGTGCATTTCCATATCGGTTCCTGGGCTTGGTGCTCGGGTTCGAGGTCCATCAGCGGATCATCAGATGCAGCCGGAGGTATAGCAATATTCATATACAATATACATGTATATATATATATATATATAGTTATATGTTATATGTTATATATATATATATAATGCAACTATCTATCTATCTATCTATCGATCTATCTATCTATCTATCTATCTATCTATCTATCCATCTATCTATCTACATATATATATATATATGAGTATATATCATGTATACACTATACACAATGTGTGCCTGCATAGAATATGTGAAACTTATATGTGGGCCGAAAGGCAATTTTGGATCCTCAGTGCATCAAAGCTCGGAGCTGCAAAACCACAGTTCTCGCACACCCTTGCCACAGTCGCTCCATGCCACTAGGGTTAAACCAATATACCTCTAGCCTAGCATCTTTTATTCTAAAGCCTAAACCCTACTCCCTAAACCCTAAACCCTAAAATCCTAAAACCCTAAACCCTACTCTGGAAGCATCGCCGTTGCTGTTCCTGAACTCCGGACTCGCAGACCTCCAGAAACCGATAGCCTGCTGGAATGTGAAAGGTTTTAGGGCTTTAGGGTTTAGGGTTTAGGGCTTTAGGGTTTTAGGGTTGTAGGGTTTAGGGTTTTAGGGTTTAGGGTTTCAGAGTTTAGGGTTTAGGGTGTTTTAGGTTTTAGGGTTCAATTTTTATGGTTTTAGGGTTTAGGGTTGAGGAATTTTTACAAGATACGAACAAATAAACAGACAACAGCAGACACGCTACCATTACTACCAGCTGACAGCCCTTCGCTGCTACTTTGTCATAGCACTCCAGTGCCAAGTTTAAGATGCAGCATATAGGCCTGGACTGCTTACGGCCCCCATACAGCAATAGTCTAATATCAGGGTACTATCAGGGCTTTGCTACATACCTATATTTATATTCAAAAATATGCAAGTGCTACTGAGATGGGGCAGTCTCAAAGGCATAGAGTTCCCAGCTGTCTAATTCGTCTGAGGTGGCTTTCGCGCGCCAGTGGGTGTTCCCTGCCATCAACGAAGAGTCTGCGAACGCCCTGCATAAAAGCTGCTTGCCCAAAGTGACGGTGAAGGACTGTGGCCCTGAACTCCGGCCCTCCCTTCACTGGCCCTGAACTCCGACCCTCTCTTCCCTGCCGGTATCGTTTTCCGCACTGTGTTTTTTGGGGGTTTCGGATGTGGTTGAGCCGGAAAGCGCTGCAAAGTTCATCATTAGGGCTGGTGTCATTGCCAGCGACACACAGAGTTCTTCCCATTTGGTTTAGGACTTATGCTTCTTCGCTACGATTTCTCCGGTCCTCGCTGAAACATGGACTCAGAATGATTTGTGCAGGGATTCTCCATGCCTGGCTCAAAGGGCATGAGGGTATACTTTTCCTGATGGTAGACATCTCGTATAACCCTTAAAGCCTAAACCCAATAACATACCCCCGAACTCAAGAACCGATGCTAACTGTTGCGGTCGCTATGTTCCACCAGAACATGAAGCTCTTGTCGAAAAACTTCAACTGTCTAAACTTAGTAGGGGCCCAAAATAACTACCAATACTATTTTGGGATTAAGTCCTCTAAACCCTAAATCCTAAACCCAATTACATGTATAGCATAGTTTACCCCAAAACCTTAATCAAATGCTCAAGGCCCCATGTTACTCGGTTTAGGGTGTCAGGAGCCGTCACTTAAACCGGCAGCTCCAAACCTCCTCTCCTCTCAAGCCTATAGACGCGGTTTAGGGTTTAGGGTTTAGGGTTTAGGGTACAAAGTTCATGCGGATGGAAGCAGCCTGAAGCCGAACCTGAGGCCCATAGTCCTGACCGTAAAAGCCGCAGGTCCTAAACCTTGAAGCATCAAATCCTGAACCCGAAGGCCTTTCTAAAACCCCTGAGCCCCTCAACCTCCGACACCCAACCCCAAAGTCTAAACCCCCCCCCCCCCCCC